AGCCCTATATAAACCACGAAGAGAGAGTTTCTCTTGCGTTTCCACACCTGATTCTTATTTACACTATAGGCACTTTAAGGCTTTCTGGAAAAATAAAGTAAATGTAATAGGTATGATCTTGGAGCTCTTTTACCTGATGATGTGGGCCCTACATGCCTTAGCTATATAAGAACCAAGGTTTTTCTGTCTTAACATTTTAAGGCTCCTGAGCAGAGCTCCTGATCAGAGGTCTAGTAAATGGGAGTAGAAGATGAGGAGGTTTCTCTTCAGACCACTGAGTTTATTTGGCAGTGGAAAGGCAGGGGAGAAAGGTGTATAGGTCTTATCTTCAGGACCTGTTTTGTGGAATTAGAACAAAACCTGCACTGTTTTATTATCCTGCTAGAATACAGCAGCACAAGCATTTTTCAGAAATATACATTCAGAGAGTAAAAGAAAGGGTGCATGTATAGATTAAGACAATGCATGAACAAAGCAGCCTACTTGGCCTCACAATATGAAAATATTATCCCAGAATCTTGTTTGAGTAAGCATTGCCGCTGAAACCTTGCAGCTGGTATCTTCAGACTCGTTTACTTCATTGTAGGCAATTTATATATATTATCAAGGGTGCCATATAAATAATCATAATAATTGCATTATGGTTCTGCAATTGGTGAAGTATGTATCAATGATGTATTGCTTTTCCTTCAGGTTTATGACAGTACTCTGAGCTACGGCAAATTGTCCACCCCTAAACAGCTTTTTACTCTATTATTTTTTTTTTAAAAAAAGGATTATATTATTTTATACAATATGTCATCTGTTGATAAGGATAATATGGATAATATTTTGGTTGCATAGCAACCAGCTTTTCGATGATTGTTGATGATACTCCATTCCTTGAAATGTACTTATTTTTTAATATTTCCAAATAAACACCGCTGTATATTCCAAAGTTTCAATAATTTCATTAATTTCCGTAATAAGATACAAAAACATAACTGGAGTGCAGGAAAATGTTCCATAGTGATGACATGTTGCAATTACTTCATGAGCGAGTTCAAGAAACGCGAAATCATTTTACTGAATTAACACTTTGTGTAAGTTATTATCTCTGCCCTTAAACGACGAGTCTGGCAGGTCGATGCCATTAAAAAAGAGCACAGAGCTGGATGATGGCACAGGGGTGCGTTTGAGGAGAGGGCAGTATAGAGCTGTGCTGTGTCTGGGGTGCACTTGGGAACGAGCTGTGACTGGAGCTACCAGGCCCTTCCTGACTCCCCACTTCTCTATTAGTATGGTGAGCAAACGAACAGCATTACCTGACATACCACAGGGGCAGATGTGAGGACTTCAGCCATGCTGGGCTACTGTCCTGTCAGTTACCAGTTCCACAAACGGGATAGAAAAATGTCCGACAAAGGCTACTTCATGCTGCAGGAGCTACTGTGGATTTCTCTTAAGCGTTTTTCTTTCCGTTGACTCTCACGATCAGAGGCTTTTTTGATATTGTGGCATACTACAAAGAAGTAAATAAGATGCATGCAGTTCATTTTTTTTTTTTCAGATGGGAAGAAGGAAGGGTTGGCTTGCTTCTGCTTTTTTTTGACTTTAGTAGTAGGAAGATTGGTTTCAAATTTTGGAAGCTGCAGATACACTTGAGAAGGATATAATTCAGTGTTTAGGCAAATTATTCCATTTAGACTTATTTTGGTTGTAACAACTCTGAAATCCAACTAGCTCTAGAATACTCATGGAAATAAAGCAACCGCTATCACCAAATGCAGAGGAGGTGGCAAGAGATGAGCTACAAATGGATTAACAGAACCCAACTGGTTGTAATAAAATTTGTTTGGAAACATATTTAAATCCCAAGCACCGCATAAAGTCCTCTCATCACCTCTTTGAGGTGGATGAATAAAGAATATTATTCCCATTTTACAGCTAAAAAAACAAAGACGTTAAGTGTTATTTTCCAAGGCCACGCGGAAGGTCACTGGCAGACTGGCGATCAGAACTCATAAATTCCTGGCTTCCAGCCCCACACGCTGTCCATTGACAATGGTGACTTTGTGTGAAGACGATCTGCCCATACACAGCGGTGGAGAAAAGCACACACATTACCTGCGATGGGTATAATTAGCAAGGTTATTAATGAAAAAGTTTCAAAAAGACTTTTGCAGAAACTGTGAGAATTTCAATAAAGGCAGCCGCTGGGTAAATTCTTGGCTCCGTTAAAAGTCTTGCCTGGGATCAGTTAACGTTGTGAACATTCACATATGGGCCACCTGTGCGACATGAGGATTTACGAGAGCCGCTTGGGAAGCGTGAACATGGCTGCACAAGGCACCACTGAGCTCCCGCCTGGCATGACGTGGGCGACTCCGGTCAGCCGCGTTCAGATAGGAGTGAGGTGAGATGGGCTGAGGGACACTGAGCGCAACTGGGGATGGCAACTGGCAGGGAGGGCAAAACTACCTTGGTTACAGACCAAGGCTGGCACAAAGACAAATGATTGTACACTGACCATGTGTTAATTTGGCCCAATTGAAAGAGGACCCTGACCACCAGGGCAGAGTAGGGGAGGGGAAAAAAAACAAGTGGTTTGAAGATGGCAATTCAGGGAAAAGGTAATATTGACATGGTTGCCTGCAATGTCACAGGATGCAGCTGTTCAGCTGAGACGGGCTCTTCAATTGTGTATGTCTTGAGTTATTAGCAGAACTCCTGCTGCGTTCATTTGGGACAAGATTTTACTTCTGATCTTTTCATAAAATGATGCTCTCTTTATCTGTGCTCTCTGACCTTTTCATGGCTAAGCATGATTAATGCTGGCAAAATGTTCTCAGTTCAGCCAGGCTGGAAAGCGGTGGTTTGGTCTGTGCCAGCTTCTTCTCTCTTGTTTCCCAGAGGGTAGCAGCAGGGATGGAAGGTTAAGCCAGGCTTCTTATCCCGTAAATCCCATTTGACCTGGCTGGGTGGTGGTGACCCTGGTTGGCAGGAGAGGCTCACTGCCCTACTCTACTCGTCTCTGCTTGTCATGGGAGAGGCATAGACACAGGCTGGGAGTAGCTGTGCCTGGCAAGGCAAGGGAGTTAGCTATATGGTAGAGTCACAGA